GGAAAAGAAAGGGGGACTAAAAGGGTGGGGGGGCAAAAGAGGAAAAGATGGGTGGGACAGAGAATGTGGGTGGGAAAACGAGGAAAGATGGGTGGGACCGAGAAGATGGGGGGACTTGGTTGGGCCGGGGGGGGTGGGAACCCAATGGGAAACGGGTGATGGGGGGGGAAAACGAGGGAAAGATTTTAGGGGACAAGGGGGGAAAGATGGGTGGGGAAAAACAAGAATGGAAAGGGGGGGAAAAACGAAATGAAAGGGTTTGGGCCGAAAAAGGGGTGGGGGACAGAGAATATGGCGGGGGGGGACAGGGGGAGAAACAAGGGTGGTGGGGCACGAGAATGGGGGTGGGACAGGAGAATGAGGGTGGGGGCCCAGGAAAAGGGTTGGGGGGGAAGGAGAAAGATGGGTGGGGACAAGAAAGGGTGGGTGGGACCAAAAGAGAAAAAATGGGTGGGACACGAAAAATGGGGTGGGACCCCGAGAAAGAAGGGGGACCCCGAGGGAAAGATGGGGGACACTAGAAAGATGGGTGGGACACCCGGGGAAAGATGTGTTGGGACAAGGAAAGATGGGGGGGAAAGAGGGTGATGGGTGGGACAGAAAAATGAGGGGTGGACAGGAAAAATGAAGGGTGGGACAAAGAGGAAAGAAAAGGGTGGGACAGGGGAATGATGGGTGGGACAGGGGAATGATGGGTGGGAACGAAGAATGATGGGTGGGACCCGGAAAAGATGGGGTGGGAAGGAGGGGAAAAGATGGGTTGGGAAAAGGGGGAAAGGGTGGGGAACGAGGGAAAGAGGGTGGGAAGGGGGAAAGATGGGTGGGAAAACGAGGGGGATGGGGGGGACAGGGGGAAGGGTGGGGGGGGACAGGAGAAATTGGGAAAAGGGGTGGGACAAGGGGAATGATGGGGTTGGGGCAGGAGAAAAGGGTGGGTGGGGCAAAGAAATGATGGTGGGACAGGAGAATTATGGGTTTGGGGCAGGGGAAATTTATGGGGGGGACACGAAATGATTGGGGGGGGACACAGAATGATGGGGGGGAAAAAGGGGGAATGATTTTTTGGGAAAATAGGAAAAAATAAAGGGTGGGCAACGAGAAAAGATGGGTTGGGACACGAGAAAGATGGGGGGAAGGGGAATGAAAGGGGGACACGAGAAATGAAAGGGTGGGACCGAGAATATGGGGGGGCACGAGAATGTGGGTGGGGCAGGGGGAATTTATTGGGGGGGGACCCCGAGAATGATGGGTTTTGGGGCAGGAGAAATGGGTGGGAACGGAAAAGAGTTGGGACAGGGGAAAAAATGGGGGGACACGAGAATGAAAGGTGGGAACGGGGAAAAAGATGGGTGGGACCGGAATGTGGGGGGGACAAAGAGAATGAAAAAAGGGGGTTTGGGGGGACACAGAAAGATTGGGTTTACACAGAATGAGGGGGGGGCCAGGAAATGTGGGTGGGACACGAGAAAGAAGGGTTTGGGGCACAGAAAAGAATTGGGGGGGACCGAGAATGATGGGTGGGACCGAGAATGGGTGGGTGGGACAGGGAGAAAGATGGGTGGGACAAGGGGAATGATGGGTGGGACACGGGGAATGAAGGGGGGGCAAAGGAGGGAAAATGGGTGGGGACAGGGGAAGAAAAAAAGGGGGAAGGAAGATGGGCTGGGGGAATAAGGGGGGGAAGGAGAATGAGGGTAAAGGGTATGGGGGACCAAAAATATAAAAATGAGGGGGGACACAAAAATTTGGGGGGACCCTTTAAGGGGTTCTTGGATCAAAATTGGGAAAAAAGGGGGGGGGGGGCCAAAAAATTTGGGGGGAGAATATTACTTTGGGAACGGAAGTTCCTTTTGGCAGGGAATATTTCTTATGGGGGGGAACGGGTTGGGCCAGAATTTTCCAAAAATTTAAAAAAGGGGGGAAAAGGGTCCTGATGGGGGGGAAAAACCAAAAAACTAATCCAAAAAAGGGGGGCCTAGGGGGGGAAAAAATATTCCAAAAATTGGGGGCCCAGAAACGGTTCCAGTGAATCTTTCCTTTCCAAGAGGATTGGGGGGGAATATCCATTGAGGGTCCTGGGAAAAATTTCGTTATCAGAGAAAGGGGGGCAGGGGGAATATTCCTTTTGGGGGATCCGGAAAATTGGCTTTGAAATAAAACCTTGGGGGGATGGGCTTGCTTGCCCCAATTTTTTTAACTTTGGGGAAAAGGTCTGCATATTTTAATTTCATCATTTTAGACGGGCTGCTGAAAACCCTCTTTTTAGACGGTCTGCTGAATCTTCTTTCAGGAGGTCGCTGAATCAACTTTTAGACGGTGCTGAATCCCTTTAGAGGGCTGCTGAATCAAAACTTTTAGGGACGGTCGGAAAAAAAATCATCTTTTAGACAAGGTCCCCGGGTGGGCGAATAAAAATTTTTAAAAAATACCGGAAAATTTTTGACGGATCTTAAACTTTTTCAGGGCGGTTGCTGAATCATCTTTGAGACGGGTATGCTGAATCCCTTTTAGATGGGCTGCTGAATAAAATTTGAGACGGTCTGCTAAATCATCTTTGAGAACGGTCTGCTGAATTTTTTCTAATTTTAACCTTTGCCTGCTAACATCAAAAATTTTAAATTTTAGATGGTTCCCTTTGGGGTGAAAAACGGTCCTAAAATCGAGATTTTTTGGGCTGGGCTGAATCTCCCAAATTGGGTTAGAATTCCTTTGGCCTGGAACGTCTTTGAGAAGGTCTGCTGAATCTCCTTTGAGGGCGGTCTGGGTGAATTCCTTTTAGGGCGGGCTGCTGAATCGTCCTTTTAGGGGGAAAAAAGGGCTTCTGGGAAAAACCCTTGAGACGGCCCCGCTTTAACTACCTTTTAGACGGGCTGCTGAATCTCCCTTTTTGGAAAGGGTCTGCCCGAATCATCTTTGAAGCGTCTGCAAAAAAACATCTTTGAAAACGGTTGGGTGAATTCCTTTGAGCGGGCTCCTGAATCCCCTTTTAGACGGTCTGCTGAAATTTTCTTTGAGACCGGTCCGCTGAATCATCCCTTTGAGGGCGATCTGGGTAAAAACATCTTTGAGGGGCGGTTGCTGAATCTCCTTTGAGGCGGTTCCCCCTGAAAACCCCCTTTGGGGAACGCCCTCCGAGAGTCTGCTTAGAAATTTTCAAGGGGAGTCACCCGCTGAACGTCTGCCCTTTAAAATTTTTTCTCCCTAGTCCCGCCGGGGGAAAAGGTTTGAAAAATCCTGCTGTAACCCTTTCCCTTGACGTATCTGCTATTGTTAAACTTTTTTAGAAAACCCCTGTTTACGCATTTGAGGGCGTTTTTTGAGGTTTCTGCAGCGATTAAATGTGACGTCCCGTTTTAGATGCGTGTTGTGACGTCTTTCACAACGGCCCCTTTTGACGTTTTTTCCGTAACGCCTCCCTTTCGACGGGCCTGCCAAACGCCCTTGTGACGTCTTCCGTTTTAAAGCCTCTTGTGGGGTTTTTTCGAAACGCCTCTTGTGACGTTGCCAAGACCCTCCGTAACGTTCCCTTTCCCAGACGGGCCCCTTGTGACGTCTGCCGAGAAAGCCTCCTGTGGTCTTTCCCAGAGCCTCCCGGACACTTCCGAGAAGCTTTGTGACTCTTTCCGAGAGCTCCTTGAATCTTCCCAGAAGCCCTTGTGACGTCCTTCCCCAGACGCCTCCCGTGGGGGGCCCTTTCCGGGGAAGCCCTTGTGACGTCTTTCCCAGGGGCCCCCCCCTGTGCCTTCCGAGGGAAACCTTTTTGGGGACGTTTCCGAGAAGCCCCTTTTTGGGCCGTCTGGGCCCAACTCCTCCCGGGGACATCTTTGAGAAGCCCCTTGTGACGTTTTTGTCCGGGGAAGCCTCTTGTGACGTCCTGCCGAGACGGCCCCCCTGTGGGCATTTTTCCGAGAAGCCTTCTTGTAACGTCTTCCCAGAAGCCTCTTGTGACGTCTTTCCCCAGAAGGGCCCCTTGGACATCTTTTTCCCAAAACGCCTTTTTGTGACGTCTGCCGAGACGCCCCTTTTGGGCGTCTTTCGAACCCTCCTGTGCACACTTCCGAAAGCCTTTGTGACGTCTTCCCAGAAGCCTTTGTGACAAACTTCCAAAAAGCCTCTTTGACGTCACCAGAAGCCCTTGTGACATCCTTTCCCGAGACGCCTCTTGTGACGTCTGCCGAAAGGGGCCCTTGAGACTCTTCCAGACGGGCCCCCTGTGACATCTTTCCCGGAAACCCCCCTTCCCCCCCCCCTTTTGACGGTTTTTCCCAGAAGGCCCCTTGTGACATCTTCCCAGAAGCCCCTTTTTGGGGTCTGGGCCCAGACCCTCTTGTGACGTCTTCCGGATGCCTCCTGTGGGCATTTGGGGAAGCCCTTGTGACCCTTTCCGAGATGCCTCTTGTGACAAACCTTCCCAGAAGCCTCTTTTTGACATCTTCCGAGAAACCCTTGTGGGCATCCTTTCCCAGAAGCCTCCTGTGACATCTTCCGGGGAAACCTTTTAGCCCCCTTTTCCCCCCTCCTGGACATTTTCCCAGAAACCTCTTGTGAGTCCCTTTCCCAGACGGGCCCCCTGTGACATCTTCCCAGAAAACCTCTTGGGGGACTCTTTCCCAGACCCTCCTGTGACATCTTCCGAGAAACCCTTGTGACCCTCTTTCCCAGACGCCTCCCGTGAACAAATTCCGAGAAGCCTCTTTTGACGTCTTTCCAGCGCCTCCTGGGGAAAATCTTCCGAGAGCCTCTTTTGACGTCTTCCCAGAAAGGGCCCCTGTGATCTTTCCCAGAAGCCTCTTGGGAAAGTCTCCCAGACGCCTCCCCGTGACATCTTTCCAAAAAGCCCCTTGTGACGTCCCTTTCCCAGACCCGGGGGGCCGGGGCAGGGGGTTTCCCGGGGTAAAGGGGCGTCAAAAGAAGCCTGACGTAACTAACTTTAAAAAGAAGCAGCGGCAGTATGGTGACAGAAAGTTGATATACCAGAAACCCAAGCATCCATAAGTAACCTAAAAATCACCCCTATCATCATTTTCATCATTATTATCAACATTTTCATTATTATCAACAACGTTATCATCATTATCGTCACAAACATCATCATTACCATAGACGTCATCATCATTACCATCATCATCATCATCATTTTCATCAATATCATCAACCTCATCATTATCCTCATCATCAACCTCATCATCAACCTCATCATTATCATCATCATCATAATAATCATCATCATCATTATCATCATCATTAGCATCATCATAATCATTATCACCAACATCATTATCGTCATCAACCTCATTTCCATCATCAACATCATCATTATCAACATTATTATCAACATCATCATTATCAATATCATTATTATCATCATCAACCTCATCATTATCATCATCATCACTATCATTATCTTACCTTTCTTAATCACTCTCTCCACTGCTTTGAAAATGTTTTGGGAAAGGGAGAGAGAGAGAGAGAGAGAGAGAGAGAGAGAGAGAGGAGAGAGAGAGAGAGAGAGAAGAGAGAGAGAGAGAGATGTAACATCCTCTATCTAGAGATTGATGGTGAGTACACACTGCTAGGGTGTACACACTGCCAGGGTGTACACACTGTCAGGGTGTACACACTGCCAGGGTGTACACACTGCCAGGGTGTACACACTGCCAGGGTGTACATCCACTCAGCGGATGCTTAAACCCCCAAGTCAAGAGACAATCCTGACTAACAAAACACCAGTCCTGACTAACAAACTGACTAACAAAACACCAGTTTTGACTAACAAACACCAGTTCTGACTAACAAACTGACTAACAAAACACCAGTTTTGACTAACAAACACCAGTCCTGACTAACAAACTGACTAAAAAAAACACCAGTTTTGACTAACAAATACCATTTCCCTGACTAACAAACACAGCTCACTAAACAAAATACCAGTTCGAGGAAACTCCATTTTCAAACCCAAAACACCATTCTAACAAACCCAAAACACCAGTTTTGATTAACAAACACCAGTTTTGACTAACAAACTGACTAACAAAACACCAGTCCTGACTAACAAACTGACTAACCAAACACCAGTTCTGACTAACAAACACCACTTATAACTAACAAAACACCACTTATAACTAACAAAACACCAGTTCTAACTAACAAAACACCAGTTCTGACTAAAAAAAAACCCCAGTTCTGACTAACAAAACAAAAGTTCTAACTAACAAAACACCTTTGACTAACAAAACACCATTCTGACTAACAAAACACCAGTTCTGACTAACAAAAACACCAGTTTCTGACTAACAAAACACCAGTTTTGACTAAGAAAAGCAACACCAAGAGAGAGAGAAAGTTCTTACCAGCGTCTGGGGGAAGAAGACCAGAAGGAAGAGTGTAGACATTAGGTTCTAAAGCGGCTGTGAGGGCCCCAGACACCAGGATCTCAGGGGCTGGGTAGGCCAGGTCCACCCCTACCTCGTACAGTAGTGGGTAGGTGGCGTAGTTGAAGGCTGTGCCCCCCCACCACGGACACATACACCTGCCCTGAGGGTACATTAGTCCTTAGATCAAGAGCCCTGAAACTAGGGTATGCACTAGAAATGTCGTGGATTGGATAAAGTTGCAAGTTGCGTGTGAGGTGGTCAATACAAGGCATCATGGAGGCTTCAGCCTCTCATCAATTTCCCTTCCACGCCTTCAAATATATATATATATTTTATATATAATATATATATATATATATATATATATATATATATATATATAAAATATATATATATATATATTTGGGGGGGTGGAAAAACAGTAAAATAATATACACTTAAAACACAGAAGTCTACAAACTTCAGAAATTATGAGCAAAAGATTACACACACACAGAGCTCAAGGGAATGTCGTACGAGGAAAGGTTAAGGGAAATCGGACTGACGACACTGGAGGACAGAAGGGTCAGGGGAGGCATGATAACGACATACAAGATACTGCGGGGAATAGACAAGATGGACAGAGATAGGATGTTCCAGAGAGGGGACACAGGGACAAGGGGTCACAACTGGAACCTGAAGACTCAGACGAGTCACAGGGACGTTAGGAAGTATTTCTTCAGTCATAGAGTTGTTAGCAAGTGGAATAGCCTAGCAAGTGAAGTAGTGGAGGCAGGAACCATACATAGTTTTAAGAAGAGGTATGACAAAGCTCAGGAAGCAGAGAGAGAGAGAGAGGACCCAGTAGCGATTAGTGAAGAGGCGGGGCCAGGAGCTATCTCTCGACCCCTGCAACCACAATTAGGTGAGTACAATTAGGTGAGTACACGTGAACCATAAGTCAAGTACTCACACTTAGAGGGTGCAAGTACGCCATAAGACAGCAAGAGGAACCAGTAGCAACAGATGGTGGTGGCCAACATGAGCAGAATCAACGTGGACCTGACGTGACCCTTAACCAGGTCATTGAAGCGCCCTGACGCCACGGGAGACAGGCTGGATAACACCACAGAGATCTGACCCACCCACATTGCGTCGTCCTGTCAGGTTCATCATTATTACTAGTATTAACACGTTAAATTTGCCTAGAAAACATAGTTAACATTACCTTTTATCATCCCTTTAAATTAACCTGTAAATCATGGTAATTTTTAAATTAATTATATAAACAATTAATATTTTCCTGGTTGTTATAAGTAAATGGTGGAGGGCTGGTGAGAGGGAAGTACCTGGTGTAGACCCAACGGGAGGGAAGTACCTGGTGAAGACCCAGTGGGAGGGAAGTACCTGGTGAAGACCCAGTGGGAGGGAAGTACCTGGTGAAGACCCAGTGGGAGGGAAGTACCTGGTGAAGACCCAGTGGGAGGGATGTACCTGGTGAAGACCCAGTGGGAGGAGGGAAGTACCTAGTGAAGACCCAGTGGGAGGAGAGAAGTACCTGGTGAAGACCCAGTGGGAGGAGGGAAGTACCTGGTGAAGACCCAGTGGGAGGAGGGAAGTACCTAGTGAAGACCCAGTGGGAGGAGAGAAGTACCTGGTGAAGACCCAGTGGGAGGAGGGAAGTACCTGGTGAAGACCCAGTGGGAGGAGGGAAGTACCTGGTGAAGACCCAGTGGGAGGAGGGAAGTACCTGGTGAAGACCCATTTGGGGGGAGGGAAGTACCGGTTAAAAGCCCCAGTGGGAGGAGGGAAGTACCTGGAAGACCCAGGGGAGGAGAAAACCGGGGTGAAGCCCAAAGGGGAAAGGGAGGAAATACCTGGTGAAGACCCAGTGGGGGGGAAGAAAGTACCTGGTGAAGACCCAGGGGGAGGGGGGAAGTCATATTTGAAGACCCAGTGGGAGGAGAGAAGTACCTGGTGAAGACCCGGGTGGGAGGGGGGGAAGAAACCTGGTGAAGCCCCAGGGGGGAGGGGGAAAGTACCGGTAAATGACCCATTTGGGGGGAGGAAAGTCCCCTGGTGAAGACCCAGCGGGGGAGGGAAGTACCTAGTGAAGATCCAGGGGGAGGAGAGAATTTACCTGGGAAAACCCAGTGGGGGGAAAGGGAAAAGTCCCGGGTGAAGCCCCATTGGGGGAGGGAAGTACCTGTGAAACCCAGTGGGGGGGAAGGGAAAAGTACCTGGTGAAGACCCAGGGGAGGACAGAAGTACCTTGGTAAAGACCCATGGAAGGAAAAGAATTACCCGGTGAAGACCCGGGTGGGGGAAAGGGAATCCCCCGGTAAGCCCCAGGGGGAGGGGGGAAATACCTAGTGAAGCCCCCATGGAGCAGAGAAGTACCTGTGAAACCCAGTGGGGGGAAGGAAAGTACCGGGAAGACCCAGTGGGGGGAGGAAAGTCCCTTTGGGAAAAACCCAGGGAGGGGGAAAAGGAAACCTGTGAAGACCCAGGGGGAGGGGGAAAGTCCCTGGTGAAGACCCAGTGGGGGGAAAAGGGGGAAAGTTGAGAACTTTTACCCCAGGCAACAAAGGGACCAAACATCACACCAAGGTCCCATCACCAAAATCCAACAACGATTTCTGCCAACGAAAAAACCCAATAAAACCAAAAACAAGCATTATTACTATTTTTTTTAAATTTTATTATTATTAGTAGTATAGTAGTAGAAGTAGTAGTATAACAGCATTTAGTAGTAGTATAGAGTAGTAGAAACAGTAGTAGTATAAAGTAATAGAAAGTAGTATTAGTAGTAGTAACAGTAGAAAAGTAGAAAGAAACCAGAAAGAAAGAAATATAGTAGTAGTAGCAGTAAAATATAGTAGTATAGAAGTAGTAACAGTAGTATATTAGGAACAGTAAAAGTTTAAGAAACCCAGTAGTAGTAGAAAGTGTAGAACAGAAGTAAGTATAAGTAGTATAATAGTGTAACAGAAAAGTAGTATAACAGTAGTAAAAACAGTAAAATAGTAGTAAAAACAGTAGTAGTAGTATTTAGTAGTAGTAACAAAATTTGTATAGTAAAAGTAGTATAACAGTAGTAGTATAGAAAACAGTAGTAAAAAGTATAACAGATTAGTATAGTAGTAGTAACAGAACAGTAGGGGTTTAGTAGTAACAGTAACAGTAGTAGTAAAATAGAAACCCAAAATTTAGTAGAAAGTAAAGGTAGTATTAGTAACAGTATAGTAGTAGAAAGTATAACAGAAGTAGTAGTAGTAACAGTTTTTAGTAGTAGTGGGAGAAAGTAGTAACAGTATAGTAAGTGGGAAACAGTAAAAGTATATTAGATAGAAACCCATATAGAAAACAGTAGTAAAAAGTAAAACCAGTAGTAGTAGTAGTAACAGTATAAGTAGAAGCAGTAGTAACAGTAGTATAGTAACAGTAGAGTAGTAGAACAGTGTAGAAGTATAACAGTTTTTTAAAGTAAATATAACAGTAGTAGTAGAATATTAGAAACGTAGTAAGTATAACAGTAGAGTAGAACAGTAGTAGTATTTAACAGTAGTATTAAAGTAGTATAGTAGTAACGGGAAATAGTAGTTTTAGCAAACAGTAGAAAGAAGTATATTAGTAGTAGTAACAATAGTAGAAGAACAGTAAAAAGTATACCGTATAACAGTAGTGTAGAGTAGTAGTAACAGAAATATAAAAGAAAGCAGTAGTAGTATTGGTAGTAGTAACTAGTATTAGTAGAAAATGTATAGGGGTTTAGAAGTGGGGAACAGTAGTAAAAAAGTAACCGTAGTATAGTGGTAGTGGGTAACGAATTATAGTAGTAACAGAAAGTAGTAGTGGTAGAAAAACGGGAGAAGTAGTAGCTTTATTAACAGAGAGTAGTAGAAACAGTAGTGGGTATTAGAAACAGAAAGTAGAAAGTAGTAACAGTAGAAGTATAGTAACAGTAGTAGTAGGGAAGAAAGAAAACAGTAGTAGTATTAGCAGTAGTAACAGAAGTGAAAGTAGTAACATAGAAGAAAGTATAAAAAGTAGTAGTAGTGGTAGTAGTAACAGTAGAGTAGTAGTAACAGAAAGTATTTTTTTATAACAGTAGTATAAAGTAACATTAGTAGTAACAGTAGAAGTGGGTGGTAGAAATTAACAAAGTAAGTTTTAAAAAAAACAGTAGAAAGAGTAACAGTAGTATAGTAGAACAGTAGTATTTAACATAGTATTGGGTGGTAGTAGTAACAGTATAGTAGAAAGCATTAGTATTTATAGTAACAGTATAGAAAGTGGAAACTAGTAACAGAATAGTAGTAGTAACAGTAGTAGTAGTAAACATGGGTAGTATAGTAACAGAAAATATTTAACAGTAGTAGTATGGTAGTAGTAACAGTATAGTATAGTAACAGTAGTATATAACAGTAGTAGAAACCAGTAGTAGAAATAGTAACAGTAGTATAACAGTAAATAGGGGTTGGGAGTAACAGTAGTAGAAACATTTAGTATGTATTAACAGTAGTAAAACCAGTTTTAGTAATATTGACAAAAAATGGGCTACACCCAAGGGGCCTTTTGATTCTCTATGAGAAAAAGGGGGTTTTTAAATTCATTGGGCTAAACGCAGATCCATTTTCCTTGATCAAACATTCCCCATTTTTAAGCACCAAAACGGGATAAAAAAATTAAAAATATTTTTTCAATTTTTAACATTAGATACCAAAAAGATTCTAGAAACTAAAAATACGAGATAGATAAAAATAGAAAAGATAGAGAGAGGAGGGGGGAAGGGGGGGGGGGGAGAAAAAGGGCAGTTGATCAAAATAAAAAATGCGGGCCCCAACAGTGGCTCCAATTTCCCCCCATCCTTTTTCCCTACTTGTTGCCCCCATAACAAAAAAAAATGCTTTCAAATGAGCGATGTAGGAAACAGCTTTTTTTAGCTTGCCAATAAATTTGGGAAAACCCTTTTAACCCCGTAAATAGCTTGTCAAAAAAGTTAGGAATCCTTAACCTGTAAATAGCTGTCAATAAAGCTGGGGACCCCTTAACCGTAAATAGTTTGCCAATAAAGTTGGGAATCCAAACCCAAAATTTCGGCCAAAAAACGGGGATCCTTAACCTTAAATAGCTTGTCAATAAAGTTAGGAATCCTTAACCGTAAAAAAGCGGCCCTTTAAAGCAGGGATCCTTACCTGAAAACCTAGCTTGTCAATAAATTGGGAAACCCTTTTAAGCCCTGAAAAAATTGGGCTGTCAATAAAGCTAGGGATTTTTTAACCCTGTAAATATTTTGTCAAAAAAGGGCTGGGGACCTTTAAACCTTGCAAACCCTTTTAAAAAAAATAGTAAAAGAGAGAGTTAGCTTACTTGATGGGGGTTTGGGGAAAGGGCTGGGTTTGGGAAGCCAGTCTTCCCGGGAGGGGGTGAGGGAGGGGGGGTATAGCGGGTTTGGGGGGGGAAGTACCCCAACACTCCCAGCAGCAACACAAAAAAAAATACCAGCTCCTGCAACAACACATGCAAACATTAGTAGCAGTAAATTAGTAGTAACAATTTTTATTTTAACCCCTAATCTAAAAAATTTTATATTGAAAAAATTTTATAAAAATTTTTCAATAACAACATCATCACAGTGTGAGGGGACCTACCTAATACATCACCCCCAAAAACATCAACATCATGGGAGGGGAACCACCTATACTTTCACCACCATAACATCAACATCAGTGTGAGAGGACCTACCTATATAATCCCCACCATAACAAAAACATCATTGTGAGAGGACCACCTATATACATCACCACCAAAAATTCAACACCAGGGGAAGGGGGAAACCTACCAAAAATACACCCCACCATAACACAAAAACGGTGAGAGGACCTACCTATCACCCTCCCCCCATAAAAATCAACATCAGGGGTCAGAGGCCCAACCTATATAAAACCCCACCAAAAACAAAACATCAGTGTGAGGGGAACCTCCTATATACTCACCACCATAACATCAACATCAGTGTGAGGGGACCTACCTAAATACATCCCCCACCATAACATCAACCTCAGTGTGAGAGGACCTCCCCTTTTCCCATCACCACCAAAAACATCAAAAATCATTTGTGAGAGGACCTACCTATATACATCACCCCTTAACAAAA